CTCACCACCTCCTAGCTGTGTTAGCCAAGTTTCTAACCATCTCTGCTAGAAGTTAGCTCTCTTCACAGTGGTGACAGCTCCTTTGCGAGGTCATATTGCTGCATATGCTGCCCATCCTAGGGTACAAGAGTGGAAGTTGCCTCCTGGCCTAAGAGTCACTGGGGACAGGGTTAGGAGACAATCTGGACCTGAAAGTCTGCCTATAAAATGGACTCTAGTTGTCTGCCTCCTCCTCTGTATGGATTCTCTAGAACAGAACCTGGCACATGGGCATTGCTACAGTTGTGTTCCAGCTTTACATCTACTTTGTGGGTTCCTGATTCATGCCTTTATCCATACACATGATACCTTATTGTTAGAAGTCTTTGGTACACAGCCAGCTCCTGGCTAGACAGGTGTGGGGTGTGCCCCATGATCACTGCCTGACCCCCCCCCACCCTAACCCCAGGCAAGCCCTTTCCTCGACAGCATCCTGTCACTTGCTGGCCAGAAGCTCCCAGGAGCAAGGCCCTGGAGAGGCAGGAACCTCTTGCCAACCTAGAAAGCAGAACGAGTAGGCTGTGTGGGCTTGAACCTTTCCCAGGAGACAGCCTGGCCCTCAAGGTAGCTGCAGTGGCTGAGACTGGACCAGGAGCTGCCTCACAGGTGTCTAGGTGTTCTGGGAGTGCTGTGTTTAGTTGTCTCACTGTCCTACTGAAGAGCCTGTGGCTCCTGCTGACTATTGTTGTCAGAGGTATAAAAGCTGCCCATGCTCCTTCAGCAGCCCTAGAGCTGGCACCCTGCAGGGCTTGACGACCTGTGCTGGGGCAGCTGTCTATGCAAGTGGCATAAGTTCCCTGCCTCTGAGGAGCCTCTTCAGGGCTTTGATTTCTGGAGGCACCATCCTCTGAAAAGATGCCTCCTGGGGATTTCAGAAGAATTTTACAGTTTCTCTTAATACAGTGGTTTTATGGTGCATAGGACCCCAGGGACACTTGGCTAAAGCTCTGGGAGTAAGGCTACATCCAAGTCAGGGAGGGGACTGCTCACCGGCCTGGGGCTGGGGATGTCCAGACTGGCCTGGAGCAAACAGTAGTGCTCAGAGCTGTGGGCTGGGGAGGGAAGCTCTGAGGCATCCCTGGCTGCCACCTCCAGCACACCCCAAGGCACCCACCTGACTTGAGTGCTGCTTAGGTGCAGACAGCAGAAGGAAGGCCTCAGTTCTTACCCAGACTGCAATACCAGCTTCACATGCAGGCTTCTCTAAGTACCAGCTCCTGGATGCCTGCGGTATTCCACCTTACCCAGGGTTGTGCCCTCCCCTTCTCTCCAAGGTTTAGCTACTGCCTAGCCACTGCTGGATCCCGGCTAGTCTCTACGACTGGGGCTTACATGGTCCTCCTAGCTTCTCAATGCAGGGTGCCAGAAGTTTGCTAACTCAGAAACTTCCGCTCCTCCCAGAAGCCTGCAAGCCTGATTCAGCTACTGGTGGGTCTCCCTCTGATGTCACCTTATTCTAGAGTGTAAGCATAGCAATGGTTCTTATTCTGTCAGGGCCGTGCTGTCCCCTTTAACTCCAGGCCAGTCTTCTGCCAGACAGGTGCTCTTGGTGACTCCATGACCTTCCACAGTGCAACCTTCCCTTTCCACTATAATAGTTCCCGTCTCTTTGTTTGAAGCTCTCTCTGCCACAGTCCCAGGATACCCAGGCCAATTCCCAGCCTTGCTGGCTGCCAGGACCCCTAGAGCCGTGCTTTAGACACCTACAAGTCTGACTGCCAGGCTCCCCCAGCAGCTGCCCACATTTCCTCAGAGGATCACTGCTTCCCTGGGCCTCAACTGAGTTTTCTGTTCAGGGCTCTGTTGGTCTCACCCTTGGGTTCCCCCATACCTGGCCTCTGCCACTTGAACCCACCTCAGCACCATCCCCCTCAAGACTGTAGCTTACCAGTGTGCCATGTTCTGTGCCAAATGATGTGCTGACCCATGGTGAAGGACCTTCTGTACCCACTCACTGCCTGCCTGTGTCCCCTCCATGGACACAGGACCAGCCAGAGGCACTCTCTCCCACTGCTGCCTGCTGAAGGCAGGGCTTCCCGGCCACCCTTAACCCTGCTGCTCTTGCTGTGTACTCTAGCCAAGGCAGTGAGTACCATTCTCTAACAGCAGCTGCTACTAAACCCCAGCTGTTGTGAAGTGTTGTCCTGAGCACATCATTACCTCACAACTCTGAGATGTCACTTGAGGCATAGGCAGGCACAATGAGCCTGCCATTCATTCACAAGTGACAGCTGACCTGGCTCTGACCCTGAGATGTAGCTCCTTATTCTGACCCTAAAGCTTATAGCTTCTGCTCCTGGCTTTTCTCTCTCTGTTGCATTTGGCCTGAGGGCAAGAAGTGAGGCCTTCGGATTTGATCCTGTAGCTTGTATAGTCATAGCCCATGCGCTTGAGAGTTGATGGAAGACTCCAACTGGGGACTTTCTATAAGGCCGATTTTCTGGTTTTGTCTTGCCATTTGACCTGTCTTGTTGGGACAACTCTGTTCTGCAGCTCTATGTCACATCTAAAAGCAGCACTATGACCATCCCTTCCTGCCTCCTCTACAGCCTGGTTCCCGAGTCCCTGCCCCATTATTCAGGTTTCTGACAGTGGCCTCTGCTTCAAGTCCCCTTCCAAGGATGAGTCTGGTTTAGCCTCCCCTACCCCCACCCACATCAGGCAGTTGTAAAGAGAACTTGCTAGTTAGAAGGGAATCAGAACTGTCAGCAGGACATAAATATTCATAGAGGGAGGTTAGAACTGAGTCCCTAAAACCTTGATTTGTGTTCACCCATTTAAGCCTCATTAAAAAGTGGCAAATGAAAGTAGGGATATTCAGTGTAACTGCAAATAAATTGGGCTTGTTCAGATAAAGGCCCCCGACTGCCAGCCCCTCAGGCTCTGTCCAGAGCATGATGGCAGAGCAGCTTGGCCACAGCCTCAGCTGTAAGACATTGCCCAGCAAGTGTGCCTGGCCTTGCTCTGGAGCAATTACCACTTGTCTGGGCACCTGGTCACCTTCCAGAGGCATTCAGGGATGGAAATCCTTAACCCGATCCCTCCCCAGCATGGCCTGCAAACCAGGGCCCCCACACAAAAAGCAGCAGTAAGAACTGAGCCTGGACTGAACATCTGTGGCAAGCTGCTTTAGCTATGTGCAAGCACAGCTTTTTTTCCTTTAGTGAGTGCAGGGATTTCAGAAATCAGTTGTATAAACCTGAACCATTTGTTCCCAGCCCCTCACCCTCATTCTACCCATGCTAGGCTGCTGCTCACTCCAGCCACAAGTAGAAAGACGCAGGAGACCAGGCCTTGTGGCAGGTGGCCTAAGGAGCTGCAGATGTGGGCTTTCTTGGAGGCCAAGCAGGTCATAGGCACAAGTAGAATTGGCCAGTCTGTGGGCTTCAGCCTGGAAAGATAAAAGCTTGAACAGGAGGGGCAGTATAGGAAGGGCTGACTTTGCCAGTTAAGGGACAGATATCCTCCAGCCAGAGCATAAGAAAGAGGTAGACCCCAGCATGGCCTCTGGCTGTGTGTCACTCCAGTGCTACATGAGGATACAGTCTCAGGGATTCATCTGTGTTGGGTAGTATTCTGTGAACGGCACACTACATGACAGTCAAAAGTACCTATATCAGAGTGCTGTCCCCAAGTCTGGCTCTCTAGTGTTCCCCTCCCTACAGTACAGTTATGGGAAGACTTCTGGCTTCTCTGGGGATTGCTTAGTCTGCTGACTGAGGCTGGTGTCTATCAGCAGAGAACTGACAGTTAGCCATGCAGTTACCTCCTGCCTCTGCAGGGCTGTCCCCTCACATGGAGCCCTTTTTCCTGGGCCACAGGAAATGGTTACCTTTCATTCCAATCCACCAAAGTGGCTGCTCCAGGAATGTCTGAGATGGCTGCTGTGTCCAGGGAGAAGGCAGAGGCCCAGGGACTCAAGTGCAACTTTCCTGATTCTTGACCCCAGGCTAGTGGCCTGGGACATCCATACTCTCACCAGCATGCTTAGGAGGCCAGATTCTCCCAGGTAGCTCCAACAAAGAATGGAACTCAGAAGTATGTCCTTGTGACTCCTCAGAAAAACCACTCCATCTAGGGAACCCTAGCTTTTCATTTGGCTACATTGGCTGTCTCTCTTGGGGACTTGGTAAGGGTTGAAGTCAGATAGAAAAGGACTATTATAGGGTTCCAGAGAGCCCTCAACACACCCAGCCACCATAAGCAAGGCACTAGCCAGCCAGCTTAGATCCAGAGAAGTGGCTACTTTAGATACCTGGAGACCAAGTCAAGGCCAAGTGCACAGCATCGGCACCCCAGGTGTAGATAGCCCAGCCCAGCATTTTACACAACTCAGGTATTTTCTTTAAGGTCATACATATCTCTGAAATGACAGCAAATGGAAGAAGGCATGGCTGGCAGCCCTCCTTTTGAGAGCTTAGCCACTTTGCCATCGAATTACACTGACCTTGGTGATAGGCAACAGTTCTGCGCAAGGGCCTCATCAGAAAGAAAGAGAAGTGGTTTTAAGTTGCATTGTTTCGCCAATTTTTATTGATTCTCAGAAAAAAATGCCTATCGTGACAACACAGACTGCACTATTAAGATGAATTATGACTATGAGAAAAATGCCCCCACTTTTTAGCCCCTTGACATTTAACCCCTTCTCCTCCCACATGGAGATATGGGACCTTGTGCTGTCTCTGCAATGCTCATTTCCTTCTTGAATCGACCATGGGGCAGGTTCTGCTGGGTGCAAGGCCTGGTTCATCCACTCCTTGTTTCCGGGGACTCAGCCTGGCAGTTCAAAATTTGAAGCCCTCTGTCAACAGCAAAGCTGGGCCCTGCCCAGGACAAACAGGGTGGGCCCCTCCAGGGTGCCAATACAAGCATGGGGTAGGGAGGTAGGGTGGGGCCTGGGGTGAGCCCCTCCAGGGTGCCAGTGCTGGGAAAGTTTAGCGCTCTATACCTGTCTCTTTTAGATTGATGGGCTTGAGGAGAAGCTGTCTAAGTGTCGGAAGGACCTGGAGGCTGTGACCTCCCAGCTCTACAGGACAGAACTGAGTCCTGAGGACAGGTAATGCCTCATACCCCTCTGGCCTGGTTCCCTATCTAAACTGAGCCAAGGCAGAAGGGTCCCTAACTTGGGGCTTTAGCCCCTGCCCTCTAACATCCTAGTGTTTGGCCCCTTTATTCAAACAGATAAGAACTACTGCCCCTCTAGTTAAGACTGGAAAAAATGTCTGAGCTATAAACTGCTTCCCCACAGGAGGTCTCTGGAGAAGGAGAAAACCACACTCATGAGCAAAGCCTCCAAGTATGGTAAGAAAATACCCTCCCATTGCCAGCCCTGGGAGGAAACAGTAGCAAACAAAGGGTCCGTATTCTCTGAAGTATTTGTGTCTCCCATCCACAGATGCCGGTTCTGCATCCCATGCCCCACCGACCTGAACAGCCTACACTGGGTGGTTAGAGGACAGCTCCTGCTTGGGCAGGAGAGGGCTTCTGTGGGTGGAGCAATGCTGCCACCTTCTGGGTGCAGGCAGCAGAGCCAGTTAGAGCCCAGCAGCCCCTGCCCCGGGGCTATGACTGTGGTCTGCACGGCCCGCCCTTCGGATGTGTCCCATTCTTTCTCTACTCAGGATTAGTCTGGCTGCCTAGAGCTGGCTGACAGTCCACCCAGTCCATTGCATAGGTAGGGATGGGTGGCTAGGACATCAGTTTAGCCTTTGCAGAGTGACGACTGGCTAGGAATGTACCTTAAGAGTATCAGGGCTCTTTCTAGTGTACCTTCAAACAGCAGGAATTCAGGAATTGTGTGAGCTCAAAGAGGCTCTAGCTGTCCTCAGAGTTTCTAGCTGGCTGAAGAGACTCCTAAAAGATGAGCCCTTTGGTGGTGGCCTTGCCACATACCCTACTGTACAGAGAAAGAACTGAGCAAGTCAAGACTGCTAGTAGGTCTAAATCTAGCTAAATGATTAGAGGGTATAGGCAGATCAAGGACAGGGCCAGGTTTGGGGTACAAAAGGACCTGAAGGAGACATTTCTGTCTTCATCAGTGTCCATTCTGGGAAGGAGGAAGCAGTTAGGCGGGACTCAATGTTCTGTCTTGTTCCCATCTTTTTCCTCCCAGAGAAGGAGCTAAAGCTGCTTCGGCAAGAGAATCGGAAGAACATGCTACTCTCAGTGGCCATCTTCATCCTCCTCGCCCTACTTTATGCCCACTGGACTATGTGAGTCAGCCATCCTCAGCCGTGCAGGTTTCCTTCCACTCCCTACTCAGGGACCAAGCAACCTTTGAAGGTCAAGATGGAGGGCCTCTTCCCCATGGGTGCCCAGCAGCTGTAGCGGCAGGGCATGGCACTGCCTTCTCCTATTGCTCAGGAGAAGGGCAATAAAGAGCACCAAGCTCTGTTGTCTAGTGAGTAAATATCTCCGGCTGACTAGCTGAGGTGAAGCAAGGGAGGCACTCTTGTCTCAAAGAGGAAGGGGTGTTCCCAAGTTCCCTTGTGCACAATTCAGGAGGGAGAAGGGCAGCTGGGAAGGCAGCATTGTGCCACCCGCTTCTCCAAATTCTGTGCCCTGGGGCCAGTGTCCTGACCTGTGATCACCACTGAAGAAGATGTAGCATGTGTGGTAAAAGGTGACTTGGGATTGCAGTGGAGGTCCCAGGGGCATGCTGAATGAACTCACCTTCTAGAGACAGGCAGGGCCAAGGAGGGCTCCAGGAGTACATGGGGAGCAAGAGCTATTAATGACCAGACTGACTGATGGTGACAACAGCCAGTAAATAAGGTGGGGTTGATCAGAAGGAAGCTGAGCAAGAGCAGCTAACAAAGAAGTTACCCCAACTCTATTCACACATAGTAAAGGGTCTGAAACATGAAGATGAGATCAGATGGAGGCTCGGTGAGCATCCCATCAGTGCAGAACACTGGCCAGGGTCAGTGAAACATCCTTTCCTCTCCTGTCCCTTGTCTAGTGACACTAATTAGTCTGACACCTCTTATTTTACACAGACTGATCATGGATTGTCACAGTGCCTCCATGGAGTGAGCTGTGTGATTTATGTGAAAAAGGGAAGGTGCCTCCCAACCCTCCTGGGGCTGTTGACTCATTCATTCCCCAACCCCAGTTTCAAACAGAACCGCACCCGTTTGTCTACCAGGCAGCAAGCAGCCCAGGAGCTGGAGAAGCTTGGATTCCACAAACCTTCCTCTTAAAGTCAGACCCCAACCACACAGCCCTGTAGACAACAGCAGCCTAGCATAGAGCCACATGAGCAATAAAAATAAGTTTAATGATCCAAGATTCTGCAAGACACACTGATAGGCCCACATTTGGGTAGAAATATAGCTTCCTAGCACAGTTGCTGCTGGCTTAGGAGTAAGGGGCTGACAGAAGGGACCTCTCACAGTGGAGTCAATTCCAACCTCACAGGTGCCTCTGTGCCCTATCTCCATGGAAACCAGTCTGATGCTGGCATGGAGCCCTAGGGACCTGTATGAACATCTCTTGAGAGGTACTTCCCATTAAAAACAACCACAGGTGCCCTTCTTCCCTCTTAAAGAGACAGGAAATGGAGTGACCACATTGTGTGTACCTCTTAGTGGAGAGGAGGGGACACCAGGGCTAGCACTAGCTCAAAGCTCTGCCACCAGCTTCAGGTGGCCTAAACTGCCTGAGGGCTGGTGCTCCACCTAACCTGGAGAGGAGGACCCTGGAAGACCCTACAATTCAAGAGGCAGTCACACCCAGGACCCAAGGCTCTAGTGTGTCAGGTATGCTGGGCCCTTGCTCCTTCCCGGCCTGCCAGGATGAACTCCAGGATGTGGGTGGTAAAGACAAGAAATAAAACTCTGATTTGTACAGCAGCTGCTTCTGGCCAGCACAAGACAGTGGGCCTCCTTGCTTGGCTGGCCTGGTAAAAGTTGGGAAAAACAGGGCCTGACTACCCTTTGGGGCAGTTAAGTGGAACTCAGAAAACAGAGTCTACAAATTCCAGAGGGAATAGCTGAGCCCAAAGTCTGCCACTCTGGCAAGTCCTAAGCACTAACCTGCCTTTTTCAGGCTGCCTCTTGGTGGGGCCAGTTCTCAGGCAGCAGAGTTCCACAAGGATATGTCCTCTGAAGAGCCTGGTTGAGCTCCTTGGGAATGGAGAGAAACCCATCTCCCTCATGACCAAGGAGAACATTCCCAGTCCTTTCCAAGAGGTGAAGGAACCAGACACAGGGCCCTGCCTTGGGAATGACAGGACATTCATCAGGTGGAGATCCTAAGATCCTCCAGGATTGTGACTCTGGATGAAAGAAAGGACATCCTCCTTGGACAGCTTGTCTGGATCCTGGGGCTTCTGGGAGTCACGCATATGGAAGCCATCTCCCCACTCCCAGAAGAGCCGACTGTAGTAGCAGGTACTGGGAAGGGGAGGGGTCAGTCAGAGTACTGTACCTAGGTGGCACAGGACCACCCTTAGCAACTATGACTTCAAGGATGTGTGCTTTTAAACTGGGTTCTATCAATGACTCAAGAATTCCCTCTCTGGCATCCAAAAGGTATCTACTCAGAAGGTACCTCCTATGCATCCAAGAACTAACATTTGCTGCCACAACTGAACTCTACTTGTGTTCTAGCTCACTTGCTTCACTAAGAGATCAGTATTAGCTGGCTATAGAAGCAAGTGTTGGTGGATAATATTAGATCCCAAAGGGGCCTGTTCCAAAGTCCATGTCCAGTAGCAGTCTGACCAACATGCTACATTCTGAAGAGGAATGGGACCTTGAGTCATAAGGAGCAAGGCTGGGAGCCTGCAACATGTTCCTCAAACCTTCTTGTGGGTGCCGCCCTCCCCCACCCCCACCCCCCAAGCCAGTGAGCTCTCTACCTAGGCCTATAGTTGGGACAGCTTCTATATGGCAGTGAAGGGCTTCAGGCCAGTGGAGGGCTACTTACTGAAATGGGGCAATGGACTCTGCAGGGAGCTGAAAGGTAGAGCTCTGGGTTTTCTTGTTGTAGAAGAACTTCCTCTTGAAACTCTTGCTGAATGCCATGGTCCATGGCTCTAAGAGAAAAGGGCAGACACTGAGGACAGTACCCATGGCCAACAACTTTCTCCTGCTTGTCCCTTCCAGCCTCCATGGCTCAGGAGGGTGGCAGATTATTACCTCCCTAAGGCCTAGCCTGGTCCTGTGAGAGGCCATGCTTACCTGCTGAGAACACCATGTGGGCATCTGCAGTTTCTTCTCTTCCTGCCCAGCCAAAGACCAGAATAGGCTAATCTGGGGGTGCAGTGTTCCCAACAGATACCTCAGAATTTGCCAGTTTCCTGCTGTCCACCTCAACAAGGAAGTCTGGGCCAGTCACCTTGGCAGGGAAGGGGGAACCTACCGTTCATAGTTCTGACAATGTAGAGGCCTGTGGGCACAAAGTGCCGGTCATCCCGTCCTGTGTAGCTGAGCTTTGGCGTGCCACCGGAGCCCTTGATAAGCTTCATTTCTAACCTGGTTCCCCAGATAGGTGGGCATCCAGGAAACATGCACAGGGGACAGAGTGGGACATGCTAATGTTAGTCTCTAGGTAATTCAAGGTGACACCAGTCCTAGTAGTCTATCCTGGTTTGGCAAAAGAAACCAAAGCACAGATCCTTAAGCGTACAGCTCCAAGCCACCCAGGGCAGTCAAGCAGTAGGTGCAGGGCAGGCTTTACAGTGACACCAACAAAGAAATATTAGAAACAGGGATGTTCCTGGGTCATCAGATGACCACAGACCACTCTCATAGTGAGACTCATCTGTTGGTACATCTGTCCTCTGCCCACCCCAGGCTCCTCACAGCACTGTTTTAGTATTTGAAGCAGCTTGCTTCTCCACCCCTTGAAAGGACAACCCTAACAATTCCAGCATCAATGAGTCTGTACTGTTTGACATAGAGTTACCCTGTACCTTCCTGACAGGTGCTGAGCTAGCTCTCAGCTGGGACTAAACTGCAGCAAGTCAGTGGAAGGCAGGGAGTGAGGCAGTGCCAGGACCCAGTTCTGTAACCCACCCTGCAAATAGAATGAATCTTGACCTGGCTCTGCACCCCACCACCAATCTAAACCACACCAGGTGAGTTACTCACCTGACAAAAATCTTCTCCATCTCTTCCAGCCTGTACACCTCCTTCACCCTGTGAGTGGAACGAGAGAGGAGTTTCCTGGGATATGTGTGTGAAGAGCATGACAGGAGGCCCTAGACCTGCCCTTGTCCTCAGGCCCTCTCTGCAACCAGCAGCCCACAAATGAGGCCACTGGGCCTGTGGCACTGCTATCCTACAGGCTACCTAGGCTTCAGAGCTGCCACATAGCCCCTTGGGCCTGTAGCAGCAGTACCAGACCAGCAGCTGGGATTCAACAGTGACTCCTGAAGACAGGAGAGAGTAAAAAAAGAGATAGCAGCCAAACTTCTCTAACAACACCCTCATCCAAGAGTAACCCTCATTGACACAGCAGGCCAGACAGACCCAGCAGGCCTGGGTCTGTCTACATCGACTTTAGACTAATTCAGCTGTAGGAAGATCTAAACAGTACTGGCAAGTACATTACTTCGAGGTCACAGGCCCCTATACAGGCTGTAGGCTCTAGTTTAAGGCCCAGACCTCCACACCTGAGGACACCAAATCTGCCTGGGGAACTGCTCTCGGGTGAGCTGCCTGTTGAAAGCAGCAGGCAGGACATCATACAGCACAAGCAAAGCTCACTTTGAGACTGCCCTGTGTCTGCAGTGCTAGACTAATTTCTAAGTTTATTTAGATGAACGCTACCAATGATTCTGCTAATGTATTAATAAGCACCTCACTCTTCAGTGCTGTCTGTAACAGCCTCTGACCTGGAGAAGGTAGTCTACTCTCTCTGTCCCTTCCCTCTTGCCCTGAGCCTGAACTTTACCCTACCTATTGTTGACAAGCCCCACTCTCTCCTCAAGCATGAGTTTCACTCTTAGCCATCCTCCTCTCACAATCAAATCCCCATTCCCTTGTTATTTCCTTACCAGGAGGCCATGCAATTGGCAAAAGATACTCAAGTCTGAAAGGGTAACTTACAGGGCAGGCATGTCCTTCTCAAACTAGGAAACAAACCTTAACCCATCCTGCCAGACTGGACAAGGAGCTGCATCCCCAAACCACTAACAGGGCAGTGTAGCTCTAGCCCCAAGGCATCTGGGAGGAGGATGCACGCTCTGCTCACCTGATAGGATTCATGTCAGGTCGACTGGGCTTGGAAACTGCTTTCACAAATTTCTCAGCAAGCTGAATTCTACAATCCAAACAGAATCCTTAGAGCAAGCCAGGGAACCTCACCAGCACCTGTGCCCCAAGGCTTTTTCACAGTATCAGTGAGAGAACCTGGACCTACACAGAACTTCCAAGTGGCAGTATTCTTGTC